TTATTTATTTATTTTTAAGAAAAATTTTCATTTTTAAGGCCTTGCAGTAATCAAGGAAAACATATTCATGGAAACTAGTTTGTGGCTTGTGCACCAGAACTTTCTCTTAAGGGTAAGGGGCCCAGAGCTTCCCAGGTCTTAAAGAAACAGGAGTGCCCTGTTTAAGAAAGTTTGTGTTCCTGGGGCACCTGAGTGGCTCAGTTAAGCATCTGCCTTCGGCTCAGGTCATGATCCCAGGGTCCTGGGATTGAGCCCCACATCGGGCTCCCTGCTCGGCGGGAAGCCTGCTTCTCCCTCTCCCACTCCCCCTGCTTGTGTTCCCTCTCTCGCTGTGTCTCTCTGACAAATAAAATCTTAAAAAAAAAAAAAAAGTTTGTATTCCTCTTAACTCTAAAGAAGAAAACTGGTGGTTGCCAGAGGGGAGCTGTGGGGGGATGGGTGAAACAGGTGACGGGGATTAAGAGTACACTTACCATGATGAGCACTGAGTGACATAGAATTGAGTCACTGTATCGTACACCTGAAACTAATATAACACTGTATGTTAACTCTACTGGAATTAGAATAAAAAATTATCAAAAAAAAGTCTGTATTCCAACTTTGCAGTGACCCGGCAGGTAACTGTTGTTTTTTGGTCCGTTTTCTTGCATCTGTTCTTAGGATTAGAAAAAGAGCAGGGAAAGGTGGAGACATTATGTGAAATAGAATTGTATAAAAGCAGAGGAGTGTGCAGTCTTAGCCTTTCCTGGGTCTGTGTGCTCCACACCTGGCCTGCTGGTAACTGCTCACTCAGCAGGTCGAATGATGAATCTGATCAGCAGTGGTGTCTCTTCTGGGAGCAGGAGCTGTGGGCTGGGTTCCTGCAGGGTCTACTTAATATCTGCTTGGTGTCTCATGCCGCTTCTCACCTTCTTCCCTCTTCTAGAAAGGATTTGGCTACAAAGACAGCAAATTCCATCGTGTGATCAAGGACTTCATGATCCAGGGTGGAGACTTTACCCGGGGAGATGGCACTGGAGGTAACCTCATGTCCTCTGGGCAGCAGGGTCTGTTGGTGCAGCCTCCAAGCTGGGAAGGCTGGGCTGTGCTGGGCAGACGAGGCCTCCTGCTTGCCCAGCTCTGGAGGCAGGACTGGCACCCGCATGGGGACCAGCTGCAGCCTTCTTTGTAGAGGGACCCCAGGACAAAGGAGAGGAGAATGGTGGGACTGTGTGGCTCTCACCCCGCCAGCAGGCCTGCCGGTCAGGGCCTACAGCCTTGGTGACTTTTCTCTCGGGGTACCCCCTGGGGGGAGGGGAAGCAAAGCTAAACACGTGGGTCAGTGACCCTAGGTCAGGCTCTGTCAGGTTGTTTACCATCTAGGTGGGAGGAGCCAGGGGAACATGACGTGGAAGCTATAGAACAGTACAGAATGTAAGTGATGGCCATCGGCGGCAGCGGTGCCTGAGAAAGAGCAGACATAATACAAAGCACTGTATGCATGGGGTCGGACACAGTTGGGTGAGATCTGCCATCTTCGTGCTGTGACCTTAGGCAGGTGAGTCCTCTGAGCTTCAGTTTCCTCTTGTGTAAAGTCAGAGTGGGAAGAGTTGGGGTGCTGCATGGTAGGTGCCCAGCATATGGTAAGTCAGCCACTGTCGAGGTGCCAACAAGCACAGGAGTCATTTCAGGCCAGGCTGATCAAGAAGTGGCCTTGTGAATGTGAGGGAAGATTTGGGCAGGGTCCTGGCCGGGGAGAACTTGGGCAGAGAGGCAGGGCTAAGGTGAACCCACCTCTGTTCTGTGGCAGGAGCTTGGCTGAATGTGGGTCCAGAGGTGGAGAGCACACAGCAGACCGGGGCCCAGAGTGCTGGGCCGTGGCTGGACCTGGGAACCTGGGTTTGTCCTACACGGAGGGAGGACCCACGGAGGGCTTGAATGGGAGGAAGACCCAGGCGCAAAGGAGTTTGAGGGAAGATAACGCGGCAGTTTTTCTGGGTGTAAAGTGCTCGTGTCGGTTCTCTGGCATACACCGTTGGCACTCTGAGCATTAGTCGTTACTGCAGTGGGCGTGGCAGGAGTGGAGAGGAGGGGTAGATAATGCGGGTGGGAGCCTGATGGACAGTGTGCAAAGGAAAAGTTGTCAAAAGAATAATTGAAGGGGTGCCTGGGTGGCTCAGTTGGTTAAGCGACTGCCTTCTGCTCAGGTCATGATCCTGGAGTCCCGGGATCGAGTCCCGCATCGGGCTCCCTGCTCAGTGGGGAGTCTGCTTCTCCCTCTGACCTTCTTCCCTCTCATGCTCTCTCTCTCTCTCAAATAAAATCTTAAAAAAAAAAATTGAAGTCTGGAGGGAAAGATGACGAAATCGGTTGAGTTTAAAATGAAGTTACCCGTCTGAGTTTGGGATTCCTTATGTGTTGGGAAAGTGATCAGAGCCAAGGATGGAGATGTGGAGTTTTCCGGAGAGTAACAGAACTGAAATCCTGCCGTCACTGGAGGTTTACAAAGAGGACTCTCACCGAGGAGAGACTCTGAGCCAGCACTCGAGCCAGGAGTTGCCACAGAGGGTTGGGTTGCTCCCTGGCCTGGGCATGAGATGGCACCCCCCCCCCCAGTGTCTAGGGATTGTCAGGTTTAGCCTTCCCCACCTCCTATGTAGTCAGAAATGCCTCCCTGATGAGCAGCGGGTCCAGGACAACTTCTAAAGCTGGGTCCCTCTGTGGAACCACGGGATGCAGATAGGTACAGGTTGTGTACGCAAGTGAGTTTGAGAGGTGTTGGGTAAAACAAAATGAAGCTTGTCACTGGGTTTCTCCAGGGCCTATAGTCACTAGCACACAGTGTGAATCTCCTGAGAGGAGACAGGGAGAAAGAAGGGGGCAGAAGCAGCTCTGGGAACTTAGATGAGGATCTCTGAAATGGTGTCGGGGTCTGCCCAGCTCCCTTTGTCGTGTATCCTGGCCTCAGACTCCTCGTGGATAGACATACCACACGCATCAACATCCAGCTTTTATTTTGTGTCCATTGATAAGAGGCTCTTGATTATCCAGAACCCAAGGGGCAGCCCCTCCCCACTCATCTATCTTCTGTGCTGTTAGGAAGAAAAGCTGGTCAACCACAGCTGTTTCCTTTTCTGGAGAGTTCTTACTTCCCCTGCCCTCTGCATAGCACCTCTCTACCAGAGTACCTCAGAGTTCCTGTGGCAGACCTCCCAGGCCACCGCCAAGGGTAGCTGTTGATGTTTGCCTTATTTAAAAGCTACTAACTGTATTCCTCAAAATAATCAATTGGGTGAGCTGTTCACTAAATCAGCCTGGCCTCATGCCCCACTTGGTCTGTCAGCATGGTTTGGCTCCAAGACCAGAGGGTAGGAAGGAGACAGCATTTATGTCCTTATAATCCACTGGAGCCTGGCCTGATGCCAAAGACAGGTTCAGTCCCTGGACTCCTCACCCCAAAGATCTGCTTGGTTTGGGCCAACTCAGCTCCCTGACCTACTCTTTCTTCCCAGGAAAGAGCATCTATGGTGAACGCTTCCCCGATGAGAACTTCAAGCTGAAACACTACGGGCCTGGCTGGGTGAGCATGGCCAATGCAGGCAAAGACACCAATGGCTCCCAGTTCTTTATCACGACCGTTAAGACAGCCTGGCTAGATGGCAAGCACGTGGTGTTTGGCAAAGTTCTGGAAGGCATGGTGAGTTTGGGGGGCAGGGGCTAAACCTGGGCAACCTTCATCAGGAAATGGACACCCCAGGGCAGGGGTGCCACCTAGTTTATCCCTTTCCCAACAGGGAGCCCACAGATTCCCCCAGTGTTCACGTGCACAAACCCTACGTCTCTCTGCCCCCAGGTTCTCAGTTCTTCAGCCTGCCCAGGTGCAGGAGCCTCCGTTTCACTCACTGCTAGGCTCCACCCCCCTCAGTTGTGCAGGACCCAGCCAAACACTGTGCCCCTGCGAAGCCACTTGGTACCCACTCCGCGGCCACCCTCTTCCCCCTCGCCCTTAGCTCAGCCCAGCCCCACTGCAGAGGATCAAAACTACCCCATCCTCTTGTCAAAGCTGGGCTCTCCCTGCCTAGGGTTCCTTTAGGATTTTGGTGCCTCAGGGTTTGCATGCTGCTCATCCCATGGGGGTCTCAGCCCTCCCCGGCCATATTCTGGGGCCTTTCTCCCTTGAGGGGTGGACCTCCGGACTCACGCCGCTCTACTGCTTCCGCCTGCCTTCCCAGGAGGTAGTACGGAAGGTGGAAAGCACCAAGACTGACAGTCGGGACAAGCCCCTGAAGGATGTGACGATCGCAGACTGTGGCAAGATCGAGGTGGAGAAGCCCTTTGCCATCGCCAAGGAGTAGGGCCCCGGGGACCTCTTCCTCTGAGCCACCATCTGTGCGGCCCTGTTGCCTTCCCGCGGGTGAAGACCGCCCGCTGCAGGGCTCCATGCTGCACTGGCCCAAGTGCTGGCATCTGACGGAGCGGACCCCTCCCCTCACATTCCACAGGCCTACCTACCAGCCTGGTTTTGTAACAAAGTCCTACCAATGCTGACCAATTAAAAAAAAAAAAAAGGTGGGTTTTTTATAACCAGTGTGTGGGCTGGGTTCTTGGGCCTGTGACACCTGCTTAAGTCCCGGTCCCAGCATGTCTGGGACTCTTGTGGCTGGGAGTGCCTGTCCACCCTTCTGCGGCTCTGGTCAGAACCCTATTTCCCTGATGATAACTACCCACAAGTAGCAAGCAGGAGCTTTTGCTTCTGACCTTTGCCACTAGGGTGCCTCAGCCTTTGCTTGTCCCCTGCCCCCCTGCTGGTGTAGGGGAAGAAATACATCTCTACCTTGTCAAAGCCCACCTCTAAATGGACTTCTCCCTTTACTCCCTATCCCCTGTTGTCCCTGCCCTGGCACCTCAGGTAGGTTAGTCCTGGGTCTGGGCCAAGGGCGACCCAGCTGCCTCTGAGAAGAGGGCACATACACTGAGGCATGTGCCTGTCCTGGCAGGTGGCCCATAGACCTCTGGGCTGGTCAGGGCATGGGTGGCAAAGGAGCAGGGTGACAAGATGCCTCTGGCTGAGCTTCAGCTGGCCTGTTGCTGAAGCCGTAGAGGCCCTGGAGCACACCATTCACCACCACGTTGGGCAGAGGCTCTGTGGGACAGAAAACAGGAGGAAGGGGTAGGGGACTGCAGGGGAAGAAAAGATGGGGGGTGGGCCTAGCCTCAGGCCTGTAGTTCCTTGAGCTCCTGAGCCCATAGGCTCAGCCCCTCCTCAGGAAGAGGTCATAGGTAACAGCTGGCCACCCCCGGTGAGGCCTTGGCATGCCCCGCTCACATTCTGTTCACATTAGCTTGGTAAGGCAGGTTGGCGAGGAATTGAGACCAGGAGAGCCAAGGTTATTTCGCCACGTCTGCTTTCGGAAGAATACAAAGTAGGCTACAGGAGCAGCAGGGCAGGTGTGGCCCCAAAGGAAGGCAGCAGGCACAAGATGCTGCCTGGAGGTCCTGAGCTGAAAATGGCAGGTTCACCCCCGACTCCCACCCTGGTACCTAGGCCCTCACCTGGGGATGGGCTGCAAATGTAGGGATCCCTGTGGAAGCTGAAGACAGGCCGGTGGTGCAGCTGGGAGCTAGGAGGGAAGAGTCCTGAACAGTGAGGGAGAGGTAGAGACCAGGGATTGAGATCACGAAGCACCCAAAAAAGAAGAGGTGAATGGGAAGTGGGCTCAGGAGGCACCGACAGAAACCGGGATTGGGATTGGGGGGTGGGGTAGGCCAGACAACCGCAGGCCGCCTCTTAGCGCGCGGCCACCAGGGGGCAGCAGGAGCGGGGCAGCAGGAGCGGGGCAGCAGGAGCGGGGCAGCAGGAGCGGGGCAGCAGGAGCGGGGCAGCAGGAGCGGGGCAGCAGGCTCCGACTTGCCTGCTGTCATTGGGCAGGAACTCCCCCAGGGCGCTGAAAAGGGGAGACGCGCTGTGAGCTGCGGTTGGTGGGGGCGGGCGCGCGCGTGAGGAAGGGGTGGAGACACGCAAGCCCAGCTCTTCACCTCCCAGGGGACCACTGCTTCTATTTGTAACAAGCTCAGTTCCGGAGGTGGCGGCGGTAACCAAGATTGTCCAGAAAATATCCCCTCTACCCCCGGTCAAGAAAGCTAATGAGGGAGGTCACGTCTCAAAGCAGCATTAGGCTGGTGCCTGGCCGAGGTAAGAAGGAAGGGAAAGGCCTTGGCTTCTCAAACCTTTTCTCACCCAGCACTGGGGCCCCTCTCTCTTGCCCAGCCATGGCCCCCCCGAGGAGCTCACCCCCAGCTTCTAGCCTTCGGGTCTGTGGGGAAGTGCCGAAGATTCAGGAATTCCAGTAACTCCTTGGGCACATCCTGGTTGAGGTACAGGACACCCTGGAGAGATCAGAGGGAACCTGTAATCAGACCCAGCTGCCTAACATACAGAGCCCAGTGCAAAATGGAGAGGCGGGGGCCTTCCAAAATGACTAAGAATTTCAAGAGTGAGCAGAGCATTATTAAGCCAAGTTTGGGGCCCTTCTGAGCACTGGGCCCTGGGTGACTCATGGGTTGTAAGCCCAGGAAGCCAACCTGGCCTGGAATCTGGCATCACTGTGTGGGGAAGAGGGGGGAAGGGTTCCCACCCAAATCCTCAGCATTGAGAGTAGCACAGACCCTCACCCTGGGGGAAAGAGAACTAGCTTTCATTGAACTGAAACCACCTGCCTCGTGTTACCTCATCCCATTCTATCAATACAGAGGGCTGTTTGGACCCATGATTGTTCAGAATATTGAGGCTTGGGGTAGTAAATAGCATGCTCAAGATGTGGGTCCCCTTCACTCCCTACCCCCCCCCCCCGCCCCAGCTCTCTGGGCCACGCCTCTGGTCAAGCAGCCTAGGGGGCAACAGAGTGAGCCCCGTGCACACCTGGATATAGGCTTCCAAGCCCTGACGCCGCTGCTCCAATCCTCTGGTCCTCCAGTTAGGCAGGCGTTTTGAGGGGAAGTCGGGCACTTTGTACAGCTTCTTGATCTGCCAGGAGGTTACCGCGGTGCCATCACAGTATTCCGATTGAGTCCTCAAGCTCACTGCGCCCAAGAGTCGCTCCCGGTCCTCCCCGCCCCCACCTCCAGACTTCAGGCTCTACCGTGGGGCAGACGCTAGTGAGTGGATGGTTGGGACGGGGGCGAGAGACCCCAGCCCTCCGCCCCCCAAACGCCCGAGGGCTGGCCGGCCACGCGTTGGCATCGACAGTACAGGCTGGGCCCTACCCCCTCTGCATCCACCCCGAAGCCCGCAGGGAGGTCTGTGCCCAGGACCGGAGCCCTCCAGGGACTGGGGCGGTAATAGTGGCAGAGGCTGGGCCCGCAGTTCGCCCGTCTCCCAGGAGCTGGGCAGGAGCCGGGCCGGGGTCGGTCGGTCGGTCGGTCGGCGGCGCAGCCTCACCCGCTTGTGCAGCGCGTGGAACTCGCTGTAGCGCCTCTGCACGGTGTGCCTGCGCCCGCGGCACAGCACTTCCACTCGGAACACCTGGCGGGCGCGGGCGGGCGGCCAGGTGCGCGTGAGGCCCCGCGGGAGGGCTCCGCAGGATCCGCGCCCGCAACGCGCCCGCCCTCCCGCGCTCAAAGGCACAAAGCGGCCTGGGAGCCCCGCCAATCTCCGGGGACCCTCCCACGCTCCCCACACCCTTGGGGAGATGGGGAGGCCGGGCCCGCCCCTCAGCTCCGTGCAGTCCCTCGTGAACCCGGACCGTCGTCCACGGAGCTGGCAAATCCAAGCGGCCCGAGACCCTCGGCAGGCGGTCTCCGGACGGCCTGACCCGCCGCGCTCCGATGCTGCAGCCCGGGCGCGGGATCCCCACTGCGCTTGGCGCGGGGAAATCCGGCGGGTCCCGTGCGCCTTCCCAGCCAGTGTCCCCGCTCACCATGTGGCCTTTCTCTGGGTTCTGCCTGGGATCCTCGGGTCCCACCGACGGGATGTGAACTTCCAGCATCCGCACGCCCGCTCCAGCCCCTCCGAGCGCGACGCTCCGAGCAAGACCTCTCACAGCTCAGACCACCGACCCCGGCGGGGGCCCGCCCCCTTCGGGCCCGCAGGCCCCGCCCCTAGTTGGCCCCGCCCCGGGCGTTCCCTCGCGCCGCGCGGTCCTGCGAGGGGCAGATTAGGCAGCGCTCGGGGAGGCGGGGGCCGAGCACCGCCCCCTGCGCCTAGTGGGCCGCAAGTGGGGACCCTTCTGCGGACAGTCATCCGTTTGTCAACATTTACTGAGTTGATTGCCAGGAATGCAGATGAGCCAAAATTTCACCTACTCTTTATTGAGCGCCTAGTAAGGACTAGGGTGTGTGGGCGCTGGACATGGAGGGAGGCAGGGCCCAGACCTCGGCGCCTACCTTGGGGGCCAATCAAGGATGTTCTTTGCGTTCCTCACACCCATCCCTGGGACCAGACTGCCCCCCATCCCCTTCCCTCCACCTTTCACCTGGACCCTGGTTGCGCAGCCACACCTGGGGAGGACTGGGGCAATCTGGCTTTGATGTCCGCCTCTCCCAGCATCCACAAGCCCCTTCACTCATTTATTTTTTCATCCATGCATTTATCTTTCAGCCCCAACCTGCTTCAGGTCCAGTTTGCCGGGAAGAAGTAGGTTAAGGACCTGGGCTCTGCGTTGGGGGGCAGATAGCTTGGCTTTCCTGAACTGTGTAGACCTGTTCTCATCTGCAAAATTGGGCTAATAGGCCTCCCTCAGGAAAGTGTATAAAAATTGAGACGATCCCTGTTAAGCCCCCAGCAGAGTAGGGGTTGAGAAGATGGCAGCCTGTGGGCTTGTCGTGGAGGCAGAGGTGGGTGGTGTCCGTGTACAGGGCAACGGATGGGGAAGAGGGACTGTGGGAGAAGGCACTAGGCTGTTCTTGCCCACCGCTTCAGGCAAGGCTTTCCTGGGTATGGGGTAGGATTTAATCCAGAACTCTCTCACCCCTTGGGCTAAAAAGGGCCTCTGCTCTCCCACTGAGCCCCCTACACTTCAGCCATAAGGGAGCTGTCCCATTCAGCAGAGTCCCATTCAGGACTCCGCTGACTTCTCCCAACAAAGGTCTGGGCAGGCGGTGGAGGGCGGGGAGGCTAGAGGCCTTGTGGTGGGAAGGAGGAAGCAGAGCACCTGTCTTAGGGGTAGGGGCTGGTGACTGGGGGACCACTGACTCACTTCCTCCCCTGCTAGTGCAGAGGGGCTTCTGAGCTGGAGCAGAAACTCTCCCCACTCCCACCCCCAGCTCCACTCCCAGAGAGAAGCTGAGAGGATGACCCCAAAGGGGGCAATACTATGTCCCACACTTTCTTCCCCCAAATTCCATCTCACAAAGAGCCCCAGAATCAGGAAGCTGAAACTTTCCACAAGGGAAATGACCCACTATGAACAGAAGTGCTGGGGTTTCATTTCTTCCCTTGCACTTTAGAGCCCCATCACTCAGAGACCCTGTTCTCCTTGTCTACTGGCCAGAGAGTCCTCTCCCAGGACCCTTAGGCCTCTAAACTTCTTGATCACCTGTCCTAATGACAGCCCTCTGTCTCTATTCCTACCACCCAGAAAACTGCTATTATCTCCTAATGGATCTCCCTGTTTTTCCTTGCCTCCCTCTCTCCATACAAGGTCCATTCTCTAACTAGCAGCGCAAACCACCATCAATGCACTGCTTCAAGCCTTCAGAAGGCTTCCCGTTATACTGAGAACAAAACCCACCCTCCCTACCACAATCTACCGAGCTCTAAGTGACCCAGCCCTGCCTCCATCTCTCATCTCATTTCCTCTCCTTCCCCTTCATGTGCCAGGCTCCAGCCACAGTGACCTAGTTCTTCAAACCCAACAAGCTCTTTCCTGCCTCAGGGCCTTTGCGCTTGCTGTTTTCTCTCCCTAGAACACTCTTCCCTGACTCCTTACCTAGTGGGCTTGGCGCAAAAATTCCAATTCTTGGCCTTAAACCTCTTCAGAGACCTTCCTTCCTGACCACTTACCCTATCCTATCACCCTGTCTTCCATTACATAGTTAATGTTTGTTTATTGTGTGCCTCCCTGTTTTTCCTGACTTTGCCCCAGACTCTCATTGCCATCAGACCAGGGACCTGGTCTTGTCAGGGGTTGCTGCCATGATACCAAGAATGCAGGAGACACTCAAAAAACATTTGTTGCTTGAAAGCCTCTAAGACTGAATGGGGAAGAGGATGTTGGGAAAAGGCTGGGGAGCAGAGGGAAGGCCTGGGAGAGCGGCAGGAGGGAGGAGTTAGAAGAAGGCCTGTGGGGCGAGAAGGGGGGTTACCTTCAGAGTCGAACACCTCTCTCTGTGCAGAGTGTTGTCCACCTTGTTTGCTTAATTTTCAGGTGTTCCTGAGAAGCCTCAAATCAATGGATTTTCATCACCAGTTATACAGGGAGATTAGATTCACCTGACTTGTAAAACATTTGGTAGTGAACCCGCAGCTCCTAATTCCACAGTGTTCCACGGTACACGAGTGAAGATCCAAATGAAGAAAGACAAGATCCTCGGCCTGGAGACATTTTAGCATGTCTCTGGGAGGTAAGTTCTGGAGAATATTTTCCTGTAAAGAGGCATACATGACCTCCTGTAGACTCCAAAGCCCGTATTATACGGTCAAGGGAAACGGTTATTTTCTGTAGTGGATGAACACGGAGCTAAGTTCCACACACTCTAGGACGGGTGTGTAGACCCTCAAAGCAACTGCTGTTTTCAGAATGAGTTTTACTGTACAAGCCTTTGCCTTTTCTCCATCACTCTCTAATGCATGAATTTCATTTCCAAGTTTCTGCGAGAAAGGGGCTTAAAAGCACTGGGTTTTTTGGCCAGAGTATTTCCAGATCAGACTATAGAGCAGTGGTTCCCAGGCCTCCACAGGCATCACCATCATCATCATCACCTACAAGTTCTGTTGAATCGCAAATCAGCTCTGAGCCCAGTTTTCTGAGGGCGTGGGCGGTTTTCACACCTTCCGGGGCGCTGCGGCCGCTCCTGGTTGGGGGCCACGTTGCAGGCACCAGTCTCTTGCCTCCTGGGGATGAGGGTCACCGCCAAGCAGAGGGCAGCGAGGGCTGGGGGCACAAGTGTCCCCTCCCCGGCCCGGTCTGGGGATGGCGCAGGTGGGCTGGACCGCAGCTGCCGCCTTGGCTGGGCCCTGGCTCTCCGGGGGCCCTCTGCAGCCGGCACACAAAGCCCCTTGCAATGGCCGGGCTTCCGCGGAGCCGCGGACGCTGCTCAGGAGGTGGCTAACCTCTTTAAGAAAACAAGCAGCTCCTGGGCTGGTGGGCACCCCCGGGCACAGAGGCTGGATTCTTCCCGCCAGGCCAGCAGCCGGAGGAGGCGAACTAGCCCGAGGGGGCCCAGACCCGCAACCCGCGACTGGGCCGCCTGATCGCTTCACCCTGGAGGCTCTGGTCGCCTGGACAAACTCAGACAGCTCCTTGCACTCGGGGTCTTTATCTGCACAGCAGACCGTGGTGTGTGGATATTAAGACGTCATGCTTCCAAAATGTTTAGCAGGGGCCTGGCACACAGTAAATTAATGTTAGCTCTTATTATTTACTGAATTATACAATTTGCTGTTTTTGTATGTCACAATGGTAGGATATGGGCAATTACATATGGTTCATCCTAATATATTGTTGATTCAACTTTGAAACAACATTTACTCTTCCTCTTTCAGTATCCTGAGATTGCAAGGTTAGGTTAAAAAATGAACTATTTTAACTACTAACTCGGTGATCAGAATTTTCCTGACTTTGGGGCGGTTGGGTGGCTCAGTCGGTTAAATATCTCCCTTCGGCTCAGGTCATGATCCTGGGGTCCTGGGATTGAGTCCCACATGGGGCTCCCTGCTCAGTGGGAGTCTGCTTCTCCCTCTGCTGCTTCCCCTGCTTGTGCTCTGTCAGATAAATCTCTTTAAAAAAATTTCCTGATTTGGGGCGCCTGGGTGGCTCAGTTGGTTAAGCGACTGCCTTCGGCTCAGGTCATGATCCTGGAGTCCCAGGATCGAGTCCCGCATCGGGCTCCCTGCTCAGTGGGGAGTCTGCTTCTCCCTCTGCCCCTCCCCCCTCTCATTCTCTCTCTCTGTCATTCTCTCTCTCTCAAAAGTAAATAAAATAAAAAAAAAATTTCCTGATTTTGTCGATATCGTGCAACCAAAAAACGGCAGAATAAATTGGGAGCAGAGTATGGTGTAAATCAGCAACTATCCTATTCATCCTACCAACCTCCGAGTTCTTACTAATTGCCTTTCTAATGGGCACATCTGTTTTTTAAAGATCTTATTTATTTGACACACAGAGAGAGATAGCGAGAGAGAGAGAGAGAGAGAGAGAGAGAGGGAGAGAGCACAAGCAGGGGGAGCGGCAGGCAGAGGGAGAAGCAGGCTTCCTGCATGAGCAGGGAGCCCGATGTGGGGCTCGATCTCAGGACCCTGGGATCATGACCTGAGCTGAAGGCAGCGGTTTAACCAACTGAGCCACCCAGGCGCCCCTGGGCACATCTTTTTTTTTTTTTTTTTAAAGATTTTTATTTATTTATTTATTTGAGAGAGAGAATGAGAGAGAGAGAGCATGAGAGGGGGGAGGGTCAGAGGGAGAAGAGACTCCCCACCGAGCAGGGAGCCTGATGTGGGACTCGATTCCAGGGACTCCAGGATCATGACCTGAGCTGAAAGCAGTCGCTTAACCAACTGAGCCACCCAGGCGCCCCAAGGGCACATCTTTTTTTTAAAGATTTTATTTATTTGACAGAGAGAGAGCACAAGCAGGGGCAGTGGCAGTGGCAGGCAGAGGGAGAAGCCGATGCAGGACTCGATCCCAGGACCCTGGGATCATGACCCAAGCCAAAGGAAGGCAGATGCTTAACCACCTGAGCCACCCAGGTGCCCCCTAATGGGTACATCTTTAATAAAATAAAACACCATACCTTTATGTTTTGAATACTGGACTTTGGTGTAGATGTC